ATTGATAATCGGGCAACATATTACATCCATTTCATAGGCAGGCTTCCCTACAGTTGTGCGAAAGAATTAGCGAATCGTTACATAACACGCATGTCTGCAAAGTCACTCCATTCGATGTTGGTTCGCAATTTCTATGACCTCCGAAACCACCAACGATAATATTATTAAGCTATAAAGAGTGATATGAACACATACAGTATGTAGAACTTACTGGAATGAAAATGTCCGGTAAGTTAAGTGAACTGGATATCAGCTCGTCTCACGGCTGCTATCCAGGCTGGACGCCTTCTTTTTGTAACGCCGCCATATGAGCTGCCTCATGGTGCTTCCAGATTTGCAAGGAATAAAAACACAAACCCTTTTTAAGCGTATTCCTGTGCCGGTTGTGCGATCGAACATTGCAGCCGACCACACAGCAAGTACGAACCACGGCTGTTGTGTGTGCTTTCGCTCCTTTGTCGCTTGCGCTTTGTTTGGACCCGGAAATGGCGCATCAGGCCAAAATCCTTTCCACGCCCACCCCTGTGACATCACGCTCCAAAGCCCTATAAGTGTTGCTGTCCCTGAGGAGTGTGCTGATTAGGAGTGACACAGTGCATCCACACTTTATCAGCCTCATAGCCTTCACACGCTGTGAATACTGTGAAAAAAAACCACGAAATTATAAATTTTTTCAGAAGTTAACTTGTCTTGGAACGTATACACACCCAAAGTGGCGCGCTTTTACAGAAAACCTCCTCCCAAACACACCCCTCCAGGTCTCTTTGCCAATGTGAGCGTAGAAATCTCCCAGAAGAACAACACAGTCACCAGATGAAGCAGCTCCACTGCCCCACTCACTGACCAAACTGTAAGCAACCTTCTCATCCCTCAGTGAAACCTGCAGCATACCCTGCTCACTGCCTTTCACCAACTCCAGACTAGAACAGAGTCCAACCCCAGAGCTGGGCGTTGAGGTGAGCACGGGTATGTCTAGTGAAAATACTGAATATTAACTACAATACTAACACCACGTGTGTTTTAGTGTGTTTGACTCACATGGTGTGGGGCACCTACTGTAAACTGAAGCCTGCTGAACTGAACATTTTGTCAAATTAATGCCAAAAATGATGAAAAGAAGGTGATAAAATGTCATACTTAGATTCACATTTAGATACTTTATAGGAAAGAGTCTAACCTCGCTGACTGATTGCTTTCTTTTTCAGAGAAGCCACAGCACCCTGCGTCACACGCACTGAGGATGTAATAAGATTAACAACATGATCGACTTCTGTGAGAGCAGGATTTAGGTAGCTGCTCTGCACACAGATATAGGAAATGACAGAGGAAGGATCGCTTCCTTAGAGTTGCACACAGAAACCAGCCCTCGTGTTTGTCTTTCCTGGGGAAATACAGGTCTTGCATCATTTAGTGCTTCGCACCCAGGGGTCATGATAGCTGTTGAAGGCTGACCTGAAAAGTGTGATGAAGAGTGACATTCATGTGGTGTTGCATCATTCTGAAAAATTTCCAGTTTTGAGCAACATAAGAAACCAAAAAATAAAAAGGGACATGATAAGTGTTTTCACATAAATGATTCGACTTGTTGTGGATTATTTCCTGGGGTTCACCAACGTCTACACCAGCTTCTACTTGTCATCACAGAAGCTATAGACCCTGTGCACGAGAAAATGCTGACCTCCTGTATTAAGACCTGATGTAGAGTTGACCGTTTCCGGTAGCTTTATTTTGCGGTCAATCGCTAGTGCGAAGATGGACCCAAAAAACACAAAAACGGAAAGATTGCATTAAGTGACAAAGAGCAGGAGGTGGGAACACCCACCACTGCTGTGTCATAAAAACATCACATGCTTAATTTTGACGTTTGAAGAGTGCAGATCGATTGGTTGTTTACATCACTCAACACAAGCAGAGCTGCATTACAAAATCAGAAGCACATCTCTGTACGGGGACACTTCTTATGATTCAAACTACAGGTGAACAATAGTCAAAGGTTCCCCGTTATGTTGATATCAGCTGGTCAAGTGCACACCTACACAGCATGTCAACAACAAAAAGCCACAGAAATAAATAAATGAATGATTGCTGGTAGGGGTCTCTATATATTAGTATTTACGAAGGGTATGTTGAGATCTTCTTATGGCCTCTGACAGCGGACTCATGTCCGTGCTTGTTCTGCTAGACCTCAGTGCAGCACTGCAGTGGTTTGTATCATATCAATCTAATAGACTTTGTTCACATAAATGGAGAGTCCTCTTTAAACACTAAGGTTCTGGAGTTCCACAGGGTTCAGTGCTAGGACCAATTCTGTGTACAATATACACTCAACAAAAATATAAACGCAACACTTTTGTTTTTGCTCCCATTCCCCATGGGATGGACGTAGAGACCTAAAATTCATTCCAGATACACAATATAACCATCCCTCCCAAACAGTGGTCACAAATCAGTCCAAATGTGTGGTAGTGGGCACATCTGCTATATTGAGATAATCCATCCCACCTCACAGGTGTGCCACATCAGGATGCTGATCTGACATCATGAGTAGTGCACAGGTGTACCTCAGACTGCCCACAACAAAAGGCCACCCTGGAATGTGCAGTTTTTTGCGCTATTGGGGGTCTGGGGACCCAGAACCGGTCAGTATCTGGTGTGACCACCATTTGCCTCATGCAGTGCAACACATCGTCGCATGGAGTCTATCAGATTGTCAATTGTAGCCTGTGGAATGTTGGTCCACTCCACTTCAATGGCTGTGCGAGGTTGTTGGATATCCGTGGGAACTGGTACACGCTGTCGTATATGCCGGTCAAACACATCCCGAACCTGCTCAATGGGTGACATGTCCGGTGAGTATGCTGGCCATGCAAGAACTGGGACATTCTCAGCTGCCATCTGCCCTGAACAATGTGAACCATGATTCATCCGTGAAGCGCACACCTCTCCAACGTGCCAGACGCCATCGAATGTGAGCATTTGCCCACACAAGACTGTTACGGCGACGAGCTGGAGTCAGGTCAAGACCCTGATGAGGACGACGGGCATGCAGTTGAGCGTCCCTGAGACGGTTTCTGACAGTTTGTGCAGAAATTGTTTGGTTGTGCAAACCAATTGTTCCAGCAGCTGTCTGGGTGGCTGGTCTCAGACGATCTTGGAGGTGAACCTGCTGGATGTGGAGGTCCTGGGCTGGTGTGGTTACACGAGGTCTGCGGTTGTGAGGCCGGTTGGATGTGCTGCCATATTCTCTGAAACGCCTGTGGAGACGGCTTATGGTTGAGAAATGAACATTCAATGCACGGGCGACAGATCTGGTTGACATTCCTGCTGTCAGCATGCCAGTTGCACGCTCCCTCATTGCTTGTGGCATCTGTGGCATTTTGCTGTGAGACAAAACTGCACATTCCAGGGTGGCCTTTTGTTGTGGGCAGTCTGAGGTACACCTGTGCACTACTCATGATGTCAGATCAGCATCCTGATGTGGCACACCTGTGAGGTGGGATGGATTATCTCAATATAGCAGATGTGCCCACTACCACACATTTGGACTGATTTGTGACCACTGTTTGGGAGGGATGGTTATATTGTGTATCTGGAATGAATTTTAGGTCTCTACATCCATCCCATGGGGAATGGGAGCAAAAACAAAAGTGTTGCGTTTATATTTTTGTTCAGTGTACATGCTTCCCTTAGGCAGCATCATCAGAAGCCATAGCATACACTTTCATTGCTCCATCACTCTGCATTTAATCATTACTTATTTTTCATCTCTGGCTCTCAGTGTCTTTTGTCCCGTCTTCCTCCCCTCACCACAGACTGATCGTGGAGATTGCTGGCCATCCCTGAGCCTGGTTCTGCTGGAGGTTTCTTCCTGTTAAAAGGTTTTTCCTTCCCACTGTTGCAAGGTGCTAGCTCACACAGGGTTTTCTCTCTATTGTTGTAGGGGTATACCGTGTAATATAAAGAAGCTTGAGGTGACTGATGTTGTGATTTGGCGCTATAATTGAATTGTGTTTTGCTGTTGTGGTTCTGTTGGCTTCATCAGGTAGTGGCCTTCAGCATACAATGGACTGGTTCACAGGTGAGTCTAAACCACCAGGAATGGGAATCAGCACCTCCAAGTCTGTTCATGGGGGAGTGGAAGATTAACCGATGGATTGGTCTGTGGTTAAGAGAGAGACTGCACACTTCCTCCAAAGGGTGCATGGGAGTTGCTGACACTTAGAAATATGGCAAAGAGTGTAATCATTTAGGAGAAACTCAGAGTGGAAGTGCAACTCCATATCGAAAGGAGCCGGGTGAGGTGGTTCAGGCCTCTTACTCAGATGGTGGCTGGATGAGGCATTCTTTTTTTTTTTTTTTTTCTAAATGACATCAGAAACAGCAGTATGCGACATTACGTGATGGCAGAGCTTCAGTTCATCCTTTGTCTTTTTTTTTTTTTTTTGGATGAGGCATTCTGTGAATGTTCTACCAACAGGAGGTCCCGGGGCAGACCAAGGACATGCTGGGGAGATTATATGTCTCGACTGGCGTGGGAACACCTAGGTGCCTCCCCACATGGGCTGAAGGAGGTGACTGAGGAGAGGAAGATGTGAGTTTATTCACTTAAGATGCTGCTCAGCCCCTGATAATCAGGAGAAGATTAATGGGTAGAATATGATATAACAAACACTGGATGATATACATATATACTATATTAAACTGTAACATGAAAGAAAATGGAAAAAATCAGAGGAAACCATGAAGCAAAGTACGATGCAATGTATTTGAATCCAATTTCCTACATTTGATCAGTTTCCTTTGATTTTACATTTAAAGTTGTACAAGTTGTACATGGGAAAATGTGATTACAATTATTATCATGCACACAGTGTTGACTCATGAATAAATACAGTACATTTTCTAATAAGTGAAAAAAAATAAAAGGATACAACAGCAACACAAAGCGAAAATTACCAACAAAACAACAGTTAAACCAATTTTTTCTTTAGTCTTTTGTGGAGGCACAGTTTTTATTTTATATGAAAAGAATAATTCGGTGCTCCTACTTCTGATTGAAAACTGACCTAAAACAGAGTTTTTAATAATCTGAAAGCTTAAACGTTTACCCGTAGCGTTATTATTTGAATAGGGATACCACTCCTCAGCTTTCATTATTAATGTGTTTGATTCATGCATATACAGCAATAATCTGACCTTCTGATTATTTTCGATTGAAGAGTTCAGGAACATCTCAATAATCACTTCATCAACATTCATGATAAACAAACATCTGAGTAAACGTGATTCAGTAAAAACACACGATATGATAATAACCTCACTGTTGATCTTCATGCTAAGCTGACTTTAATGAGTCACAGCTAAATGAATTTCACTGTATAGGACATGCACCGCTTTTCACGGCCACAACTGTAGCTCCAGCTACAGCTCCCACTACAGCTCCCACTGCAGCTCCAATTGGGCCTCCTACAGCTCCAACACCTGCTCCAATAGCAACTTCAACAGCAAGTCCAACACCAGCTCCCAGACCAATACCAGGAATTGCTCCAGCAGCAGCCACAACGGCCTGGATGAACCAGTTGTCTTTCTCTGCCAGTCTCCGTGCTTCCTGGGATGTCATGCCTGGATTTTCCCTCAGAAGTCGGCCCATCTCCTCTTTTATGGCTTTCTCTGCCTCCAGGAATTTTTCATTGGTGTAGCAGCTTCCTCCGTTTCTCTGAACCATTGTGTTGATCTTCTCCAACAGCTCTCTGACCTGAGTGGGATCTTTCTTTCTGTTGTTAAAAACATGATATCTTCTCTGACACTGATCGAGGAAGTCATTGAGAGCTTTACTTTTATGGATAAATGTTTCTATGTTCATGTCGTCGGCCTCCAGGTTGTCTCCATGTGTGAACAAGGCCATAGTGTACTGTGCTGCTGTTTCTCCAAACACCTTCTGAAGGATTTTCACTGTTTCTTGTTCTTCTTTTGTGAATCTGCCAGCCTGTAGCACAACCAGGAACACATGAGGACCAGGAGCAACAAATGAGATTGATCTAGCGATCTCTCTTTTCACCTCCTTTTCAGTTTTGCTGGTGTCGAACAGACCCGGAGTATCAATGACAGCCAGCGCGTGACCACCAAATTCTCCCGTTTCCTTTCGGCACTCTAACGTTACTGTGGAAGGAGATGTTGTGGATATAAAAGTTCTTGTTCCTAAGATGGTGTTTCCTGTTGCGCTCTTCCCAACTCCAGTTTTCCCAACGAGGACTATCCGGAACTTGGGTTCTTCCTCTTCTTCATCATCTGCCAAACAATGTTAAAAACATGACGCTGATGTTAATGTTGATCAGATGTGTACATCTGACATTTTCGTTCCATTTTCCTTTGGAAGGAAATGTTTTTTTTTTTAAAACATCAGCTCTAAAAAGTATGCTTTAGTTATCTGGAGCCTAAACAGTAGTAACAGACAGTACCAGGCTGCTGAGATGGATGAAGGAGAAGCAAAACCTTGCAATTGTGATGAATTTTGCAAGAAAGAACTGCAAGAACGTTATATTAATACGAACTTTTAAAACAGAAGTTACATAGAATTTACAGGAAGCAGAGGGTCTGTTTTACGTGTGGACCAATCCATCTAAAATCAACCTGTTTTTACAACATTAACATTATCGTGTTAAAATGTTTAATAACTGGATATTTACAATATGAAAAGGTTCAGCAATCCCATATTTCAGCACACACTAATAGAGATTGACAGACCACGTGACTTTCGCGCATTGCATTTTGCATTTTGTATAAGTTCATACTCAAGTTTAAAACAACAACTACACTAAAGCTATTCTGTTATACCTGTATGCAAAAAAAAATATTTCATAGTTCAGCAACACTGATCAATCTAATAAACTTAAACCTACACCATCCTCCCTATTCTGGTATTTTAAAGAGTACTTAGCGTAAATATTAAGCAACCTAACTGATAGGGTTCCAACTCCCAGCAACAACAAAAATAAATAAATAAAAAATAGGGAACCACCCCTCACGCTCCACCTCATGATGCTTAATCGACGTAATCAACCTTAATTTGATGCAGTGTGAAAAAAAATGCACAGAAATCAATTATTTTTCAAGAAATATTAAATAGATTCAACATCTTTCTTCAACAAAATTGCAGACTGCACAGATGGTACCTTCCCAAAGGAAAAAGTACTATAGCTTACTAGGGTATATATATTACCATAGACTTAATAGTTACTATATACAGTAATGGACTTCTATTCCTTTTACATCAAATTAAAACTTTGGGTGTAAGATTCGGATAATTATTTATTAAAAGCTCGACATTTTAAATGAGAATAAGAAAGAAAAGTATGTCTTTGTGCCCCCTTTTCCCTGTTCATGCCCTATCGGGCCCCCCTGGCTAAACTTTGCTAGATCCGCCCCTGCACAGTTACCAGCGTCAGCTACGTAGAAAAAGATCCTGGAGTAGAAAGTAATATTAAATAAATTCTAACAACAGCTGATCAAGCTTAAACGTGCTGCTGTTGTTCAGCCGCTGTTAGATCAGATTCTACAAATAATAATAAAAACATAAAAACAACAAAAACAAAACAACCAAAGAAATAGAGAAGAGAACATAAGTCCTAAAAACAGACGTGTAGTGAGCTCTATTAGTTTCCATGTACTTACCTAGCAGAGCATATGTGCTGTCCATGTTTGTCCCTCTGTAAGCGGCTTGTTTGTAATTGTGTTGCATGTCTGACTGCTTTCTGTTTATAGTGTCTCAGTATGAGAGTCTGCTTCTAGTCCTGCCCTCAAACATGTGACATCGTTATACGCGCTCACAGATAGAAGAGATGAGGAAAAATGGGTAACCCAGGTTACAAATGTTACCATGATGCAGCTATAAGAAAAGAACAACTTGAACAATGAATGACATCAAATACAACGTTTGATTACAACAGCTGATTGAGCTGAAAATTAATTGCAATTTTCCTCTGTAGGTCTCTGTGGACCTTGTTTACATCCACAACACTAATGGTTGCATTTAACACGTCATAATCTACGCTCATATACTCATAAAGTAAAAAAATCGTTTGTGGCAATGGTCCTAACATGATGTGGTGGTGTGACCGTGAGTTTGGGAACTGTGGGGGAGACCCAAGCCAAACCCATGTGCTGTTACTGTGGCCGAGAGTGAAAGAGAAAGTTTCATATGCCCCGATGACTGGACAGAAAACCGCTGCAAGTGTTACGCAAGAAAAGAAGGAGAGTATTCATAGTAGGAATTATGACCGCTGGCCCCAGTCTTCTCTAACATTTGGAATAAAAATGGCTGCGTGGAAATGAACCCTCCAGAGAGGGCTTCTTTAACAGAGTTTAGACTGTTAGACTGTGTTTTAGTGTTTCCACTGAGATCTCAGTGAAGTGGTTTAGAGGATGTGGGGGTAGGGAGGGGGGATCTGGGTTTAGCTCTATGAAGATCAGTCATTTTATTGGTTCTATATTCAAAACATTGTTCATTCTTTTCCAATGAAGATGATGAAGATTCAGTGTGATAAGATAAGATAACCTTTATTAGTCCCACGCGTGGGAAATTTGGTTTGTTACAGCAGTGGACAGTGCAAAGTTGCACAGAAAAATTAGAAGAAGAAAAAAAACACTGGAATAATATATCCATAAGATATTGTACACAATAGAATAGAATAAAACGAAATGCTTTATACAATATGAGTACAATACAACGATGCCAGAAAGAGTACTGCAATAGATGGGTAGACCGAGAACCAATCACAGTTAGTTTTAAAAGGATTCTGGACGTGTGACCGTGGTTAGTGATGGAATGTGAAAGACAGTAGTTCCCTGAATTTCATCTGGTTGTCACAATCAACGGAAGCAGGACCCAAACACAGACACGTGAAAATGAAACTTCTAACGAGCCATTTATTATGGCTGATTAAGCAGTACAAAAAGAAAAAGGCCAAGTCAAAACAAAAGTGGACAAAACCTAAACTGGGAAATTAGAAACATGAAAAAACCCTAAACATGGAAACCTGACAAAAAATATCTGAATCCTGGAAACATGGCAGGAACATAACAAACGACCTGACCGAGAATGAATGACAGCAGAACATAAAGGGAAGTGGACGCACACGGGGTACACCGTTGACACACATGAACATGACGCCTCATGGGAAGCAAAACTAAACACAATGACCACGGAACACGAGGCTGTCAAAATAAAACAGGAAGCAGAGACACAAACTTAAGTGGGATAGTTAAGGAGATGATGGGAGACAAAGACATCACCAAAACACACAAAGGGCGAGGGGGACTTGACAGATGTGACACTATAAGGCTTTGGAGTTGACATCACGCCGCAATGCATTGTGGGAGTGCGGCGCCATTTTCAGGGTCTACGAATCAAAACAAACACACTGTGTTGGAACGACGACTACAAGATGCTTAAAAGCAGCTCAAAAGAGAATGAACTGTATAGAGACCGATTTCATTCAGAGGCGACGCGGCGGTACTTGCAGAAAATAGCGTGCATTGGAAATGTGGACCTGTATGAAACACGGCCGTGGAGTAGAAACCCTGAAGACCGTAGCCTGACATATTCTCGTACCTTGTCAGCGCGTACAAGTCGTCATTCAAACAAAGGTAAGTCAGCTCGAGTACTGCGTGTGAAATGCGTTTGATTTCCCTGCAAATATTCATATTACTGCAGCATAAATTCATTCATGAGGGGAAATTACAGTGAGAACATGTGGAGGCTGTTAGGTGGATAACATAATGAGTTCAGTGCATTGATGAGACACTGTCCTGAAGGATTTAGTTATTCTCTATGGTTAAAGAAATTGCAATCATTTATTCATGTTTATTATAAATAATCCTAATTATATATCTTGCTTCCATGTTTGTATTCTGTGTCACTAAAAATACATTTTATTGTAGTTTTATACTTTGATCAATGACCTGCAGAATCTCCTTATCATATTAAGGGATTCATAATTGTCACTTTATGCTTTCTCCATCTCTACAGTGATGACATCCTTGCATTACCGGTACATACTTTAGGTTCATTTTCTGCAGGCAGGTTTCTGACAGAACAGACAGATTTACACTATAACCTGCAGCGTTCTATAGATGGACACATAAAGAAATGCATAATTACATGTATGTGCTAACTTTCTAAACACTTTGTTACATTTATGATAAAGTAGATTAAACACATTTGTGTCGGCCTTGGCTCATAGTTCTTGTCATAAATGAACTTTGTCTGTGTGTGTTTCAGGTCCTGCACTCTCAAAGACTGAATGAACCAGCATTGCAGCCATGGGTCACTGTGAGCATCACAGGGAAGGTTGAAGCCGCCCGCTGCACCTGCATGGCCGGAGTCGTGGAGACCTGCACCCACGTCACTGCTCTTCTGTTTAATGTAGAAGCAACAGTGTTGATCGTGGCACAAGGACTGTTACAGATGAACCTGCATACTGGGTTTTTCTGGGTAATATGACCAAGATACAGCCAGAGGTTGGCCATAAGATAGACTTCTCCTCTTCAGCTGCCCAAAAAAAGGCTCTCAATCAAAACATAAACAGACCATCTGTAGTGACAGGTAAAAGGAGCCGTCCTCAAAACAGAAACCTCCCACCTGCTACTGTGGAGGAGTCGTCACTGCTATAATGCCATCATGTTTTATCTAGGGGTCTAGATTTATGCCTGTAGTGCACTGCTGTGTAAATAATTTGCATTTACTGAATATGTACTGACTGAGTCCCGCTGTTCAAAAGTTGAATAAAGAAACAAACTAATTTTTGCCTCTTTTTTTAAAATTAAAACCACTTTATAGAACATCACATCAGTTACAATGATGATGTCATTTATAGTTTACAAATGACAAAATGTTTACACAAAATCATGACAGTGTTTACATGATATCACCCACTACTAACTTTATTTACTGTATCTTTTGAAAAAATACCGCTACTTATACAGCAAAAGACTAAAGAACATTTAACAGGAGCAGGTTTCATTCTTCCTGGTTTTATTATCACACTGTTCACCAAACGCAGCAAACCTTCACCATCTTATCCAGGAGGGTCACCTCTTCACCCTCACATGGAAGAAGTAATCTGATTGGCATGGTGGTCTGTTTGAAGCAGGTCCCTCGTGTAGCGCTGGAACCCAGTCACGATGTTTCATCCATTTCATTGGCTGGTTTGCTGCAATAATGCCAAATAATTAGCAACTCTATAAACAGAAGGTAGTTCTGCAAAATCATTCAGTAGGATGTTTGTTCTAATTTGCTCAGAGCGCATCAAAAATAAAACTAATAGGCTATAAAGATATGAACATATATAGAACTTACCGGAATGAAAATGTCTGGAGCACCGACAGATATTTGGAGATGGAAGAGAACTGCACGTCAGCTCGTCTCACAGCTGCTATCCAGGCTGGACGCCTTCGTTTGGTAACATCGATACACGAGCTGCTCATGTTGCTTCCAGGTGAGGAAAGAATGAAAAGATAAACCCTTTTCAAGCTTATTCTCTTGCCGGTCGTGCGATCAAACATTGCAGCCGACCACACAGCAAGAACGAACCATGGCTGTTGTGTGTGCCTTCGCTCCTTTTTCGCTTGCGCTTTGTTTAGACCCCCGAAAATGGCGGCTCGGGCCAAAATCCTTTCCACGCCCACCCCCGTGAGTGAGTCAGTAATAAGCCTTAAATATTACTGAATCACTTTAAACCAATAATATAATAATTCCCAGGTCTTGTCCACACATATGTGGGCATTTTGTAAAATGCTGCTTTTTCTCAGTGTTTTGGCCAAAGAGGTGAAACTTTTTAGATGCAGAAGGAGAATGCAGATCACCCAACCCTCTCCCCGGCCAGCGGTCTCAATAGACCAAGTACACAAAATCCTGAGGAAGATCACCCCCCGCAAGGCAGACCAGACAACATCCCTGGACAGGCCCTTAAAGCATGTGCAACGAGCTGGCTGATGTTCTCACCTCCATCTTCAACCTTTCCTGCAGCCAGAGCATCGTTCCCACATGCTTCAAAACCACAACTATGATCCCTCACCCCAAGAAAAGCCCAGCCACCTGCCTAAACGACTACAGACCAGTTGCACTCACTCCAATTATTGCAAAGTGTTTTGAGAGAATGGCGCTGGCCTACATCCAGAGCAACATCCCAGACACTCTGGATCCCCTGCAGTATGCCTACGGCCCAACAGGTCCACGTCAGACGCCATCGCTGCTGCCCTTTACTGCTCACTCTCCAACCTAGAAACAATGACTCCTACATCAGGGTACTATTGGTTGATTACAGCTCCGCCTTCAATACTCTCATCCCACACAAACTCATCCACAAGCTGGCAAAACTCGGCCTGCACCCCACCCTACAGGACTCTTTGACTGGCAGGCCACCGTCCATCAGGATCGGCAACAGGACTTCAGCCAGCATTATTACAAACACTGGCGTTCCACAGGGTTGCGTCCTCAGTCCCACCCTCTACACCCTGTACACCCACGACTGTGTCGCCTCCAACAAAGAGAACATCATACGAGGCGGCTTATAGGAGAGAGGCGGCCGGTCTGGTGTCATGGTGTGAGGACAACAACCTCACCCTCAACACTGATAAGACAAAGGAGATGAAAGTGGACATGAGGAAGAAGAGGAGGCCTCACCAGCTGCTGTTTATCCGGGAGCGTGAAGTGGAAAGAGTGAGCAGCTCATCTCAGAGGACCTCACGTGGACACCGAACACCACACAGCTGGTCAAGAAGGCCCAGGAGCGGCTTTATTTCCTGAGGAGGCCGAGGAAATTTGGTTTGTCTGCCAAGATCCTCAGCAGCGTCTAGCAGAGCAGCACTACTGCTACGGACCGCAAACGCCAGCAGAGAGTGATAACAACTGCAGAGAAGATCACCAGGACTCTGCTGCCCTCTCTGCAGAGCATCTATCATCGCAGACCCCACACACCCCCAACACGGACTGTTCTTCTGTCCTCGGGGCGAAGGTGAAAGTGATGAAGTGTGAAATCTAGAACATCTCGACTCAACAACTCCTTCTTCCTCACTGCCATCAGACTCTTGAACAGCGAAACTACCTCAAATGCAATTTTGCACATCAGGACACTTTGCACATGTTTTTTTGCACATTAAGCTCCTTTGTACATCCATCTACATTGACATCTGCATACACACGTCTTCACTTACTTATATTTTGTACTTATTTATTTATCTCCATTATTTTTCTATCCTTATTTTTATCTTATTTATCGCATTCTTTTAAAACTTTACCTAACTTGACATTTGTGTTTGGACAGCAAATGGAGGAATTTCATTGCACAGAGAAAATTTCTTCTGTATGACAATAAACACTTTGAATCTTGAAGGTGAGTCCTTCATCTGTGTGGTTAGGGTCACATCTCCACCCGTTGCACCGACATTCTCTTCACAGCACTTGGGTTTGGCTTTTGCATCGTCATGTGGAGATAATTCCCCAAACTAAAGCTGAAACCTTCATTTAAACACACGCCTGTATGTTTGATCGTAGCCTCGGTGAACTGCTCTATCTACACCGACAGACGGGGTCTAGAGGGCACGTGCACAGTCAGCAAAACCAAAAAGGAAAGCCACGCAGCTAAACGTGCGCTAAACTGCTAAAATCTCAAATGTTGCTGCCATCATTTGAACAGTAACAGGAGCGACTCTTGAATTAGGCTGTGCATTTACTTATAATGGAAGCTGTGCTGAAACTCGAGGGTGAAAGTGGTTGTAGGCGGAGGGAGGACGGTGTTTGTTTCTGAGCTGCTCTGTGGGGGCGTCAGGCTGGAACCCGGCGGTCAGAACAAGACAAACACTCGCCCACTCTCTGCTGAACGTATGTGCACGCAACACGAAGGCTCCAACGTGGAGGATCATTGCACAAGAAACTGTGTTTCAGTCCAGGGAAACGTGGTGGCTCCAGCTTTGATTACCAGCTGTGCAGCTATGTTTAACTTAGCTTTCATTGTGAAGTTTAATTGATGTTTATTTGCTTTGTTCACTGCGGCCCAACGTTGGTATTAAATTAATTAAGCTTTTATCATTTTCCCTTGAAGTCTAACTGGGCACAGCTTCGTTACACTTATTTGAGCTTAGCTGTTTTAGTAACCTAACCTGTGCTGACTTGTGCAGAAAGAGGCTTCTTTGTTTATGGTTCTACACATTTTCTCAGCACACAATCATTTTCAAACTGCACTTAATGATTATAAAATACCAGCCTGCACCTACAAGTTATACTCGATTTTTTGGCTCCGAAATCAAACGGCAGTAAGCTGCTGTTCCAGCTCTTTATGACGCGTTTTCCCAGCTCTTTGGTGTTTTTGTGCCAGACGGCGTGATTGTTTAATTTTCCAGAAGATGCTTCCAGGGGCCAAATGATTGGTGGAGTTTGAAGGTTTAACCTGTTATTGAAAGAAAGTTTTATTATTTGTAATGTGCTCTGTAGATTCAGAGTTACTTTATTTGTCATTTTAGAATATTTAACAAAGCTTCTTGCACTGTTGCTAAAAAAAAGTCTCTCCTTGTAAAGTAAAAAAAACAAATGTAATAATAAAGTAAACATTTACCCAGAGGCTTCATGACTTATTTACACCATGTGTACGCTGTCAGTGTTAAATGATATCATGCTTTTTACCATAACTGTTGTTCTGTGTGAGCTGTGACTAAAGTAAAACCTGTGTTGGTGAAGGGGACTCACTTCATGCAGAAAGTATTTTGGACTATAAAGTTAACATTAAGAGAAAGTACAGCATCGTAGTATTACTTCCTGTTCATTGAAGCTAAATAACTTCCCAGCAGTGTTTTCAGTCTGGCAGCTTGTGCAGAGAAACATCCTACAGTTTGAAAAGCAGCTTGTCTGTCAGACTGTAGGATGTTTTTTACATTGCGTGGCGGCAGCAGGCACCGAGTTGATCATTAACTAGCCAGCAGAGGGGTGGTAGTAGTCGGGTCCAGGCGCTACGCTGTCCAGCCTGGAGAAGGTTGGTTTGTCTTTCTTTACTTTTATTTTATCTCACCTTTTAAACCCTTTTGATCCCCATCATCTGTCTCCACATCGGACAAAAACCAGGTGAGTTCAAGGATGTCTTCATCTACCGAAACCTTTGTGCATTTGATCTCTAGAGAAAAATTTGCAGTCAGCGACTTTTAACTACAATATCCGTACGTAAGTTCTTACATGTTGAAGTGCACTCTGCAGAGCAGTATGTATATAATGGTGAGCCTGATCCTTTTATGTAGTGATGGTGTATTTATGCGGTTCTGTTCATTCCCTGTCATGTGTATGCTGCGTACTGCAGCCAAAAGAGGTTCTGAAACAGTAACCTTTAGTCTCCTGGTAAACACAGCAGCCATATCTGAAACGTCAACTGAGTCTGAACCTAGCGAGGGAATATTTACATATCAATAACCCTGAAAGCTTTCATACGGAGGAGTGTGCAGATGTTGGTCTTATGTTTCATCTTAAACTGTTATCTTTGGTTCCTAGAGGATGAGACACAACTGTCACCACAGGGATGTTCTTGGTTTAGCATTCAGAACAGGACGTAAACTCTACTTGTTCAGTGTTTAGGTCCAGTACAGAATATTTCTGAACCTGTTTCCCTGAGCCTCAGGCATAGCTGGACTGGCCATTGGGCATACCGGGCATTTGTCCGGTATGCCCGATGGTAATTTTTCGTTTTAAATGGGCGATGTTTTGTTGTTGTCTTTTTTTCGTAACCGTGTAAACAGTGAAAGGTGGCGGATTGGACAGATGCTGACAGACGTGTAAAAATAACTCAATTGTTTGGTAGTGGCTACGGTGGAGCTTTCACAGATTCAGTAAAATTAGCAAGTGGTGGAGGCCAGCAGGTGGATGGGGGAAAGGGGAGGTGGAGAGACCCGAGGCGGCTGCTGGTGCGAGCGTCAGGTGAACTGAACTTCAGGTAAGAAGTTATGACCTGCAGTCTATCTGGGTCAGATATAAACCAAGTTTACATGGAGTTTATTTTTGTTATGCTGACTTTTTACAGTCAGTTACAATAACTCGCACTGCTACTAGCTAGCATGACGGAGTTTCTATACAGCTGGGTGGTGCTATGATGTTACTGATAGTGAACTTTATTTTATTCCTAAGGTCAGTTAGTAGAGTTGCCAACTGTCCCGTAAAAAACTGAATCCTCTGGTATTCAGAGTTAATATTACGCGTTTCGTATTGAGCTGAAAATAAATGCGATTTGTCCTGTACTTCAGCTGCAATAAAAAAAAGACAAAAAGCTGGATTTTTTCTTCCTCTTTGCTGCACAGCTGCCTCTTCTTCTCTCACTCTCCCCCCTCCCTCTCCTGCTGCTACTTCAATCATGAAACTGATCAATGATCAGCTGATCGGCGTTTCTGCTGCAAGTCCCGTCTCTCTTGCTTGTTTATCTCCCGCTTTGCGCCAGAAAGAGGAAACTAGCGGAGGTCGCGTTAAACAGCAGAAGCGCCTTTAAACTTGATCAGCTGTTGTTAGAATTTATTTAATATTAGTTTCTAGTATCACCTGATGTTTGCTGGAGCCACAGCTGTAAAGCTGCTGGTCATGATGTTGGTTTGTATATGTGGTGAGAGGGAAACATGAAGATGAAACCAGGAGATGTCCTTACTGGATCATCAGAGCTGAACAGGTGATGGAGAAACAGGTTTACCTTTTAGGTGACATGAATGAGTTGAAGGGAAGTTATGAACTGTTTCTGAGAGAGTCTGTGAAGGTTCTCAGTCATCCAGGTCATCGTAGTCAAAGGAGCTTACAAAGAAAAGCGTCTGGACTTCTATAAGTTGCTTGAAGATACTCCCACTAGGTTTATATCTGGGACTCTCCACCATTTGACCTTAGAACTGAAGAAGCTTCTCGGATGAGAGGTGAAACATTAAATTCTTTTAATTTTACATTTGGAAAAAATGACAATTGAGAGTTAAATACACACAAAAGGACAGACAATCATTTCAAAATGAAGCAAACTGACAGAATAATCAGGGCTCTGCTCCAGGAAGCAGGTTCACAAACTCAAGTTTATTATATTCGAGATCGCCAAGTCAGTGTTTTTAGTTCGGTCAGAGTTAGTTTGACAATTAGCCATCATCAGAAGAGCATGACTCACCATGGCAACAGATAAGTAAAGGCCAGAACGTCCATTTTAATCCACTGGATTGAGGAATATGAATATGCTCGTGATACTAGGAGGGGAGAAATGATGAACTGTAAAAAGGTCGTCTTCTTTTTTTTATCGCACTCTGTTATTTCTGCCATTATGGAAACAATTAGTAAGATTTAGAAGATAAATCTGATTTCATCTTTAATCTAATCTCAGTCTTCACTGATACGGACACACCAGGCCAATGATAGTGACCGTTTCACACTGATGGAAGAAAGAAGCAGAATTTTTTTCAAGACTTAAGTAAAAGCAAACATGTTAAAATAAACATTGAACTATAGAGCTGTCTGTGTGTTGGACAGATAGATTTGAGATATTTCAGTTTAATTTTAGACTGTGGACAAAATCAGCAGCTATGATACGGGGGTTTATCTGGGGTAATCTGGAAAATGAGTCACGCTAAACCGGATCCAGTGTGAATCCTTGATCCATCTGGGAACTGCCCTGTTACAGAGCCTCGGATTCCTTCAGGGGATCTGGTTCTGGGTCCACCCACTGAGACTGATTTAGCTGATTTTCAGTAGAAAAATATTGAGGCTCAGAATGTAAACATTTAAAATGTTGTTTGACACCAATCTGAATTTCAACATGATATGTAATCAGATTACAATTAGACCGTCTGCAGCTGCATTTAAAGTGATCGTGTGCGCTTTGCTGTTACACCACATGTGAGCTGAAGTTCCTCTGCTGCCTCTGGCGGATATCACTGAGTGTTTGTCGCCCTCTGATGGACACTCAGAGGTGTTGGCTGGTGAGTCTGGACTGCAGAGTAATTATCAGCATTTCATTAAAGTACAAATGTACTCATTTACCTTACTGCATTTAAAATGTTGTGAACTGAGCTGATGGAGTCATGTCAGTGTTTCTCCTCAGCATCCTGCAGCTTTAAGGCTACGTCCACACTAGCTCGGATAGATTTGAAAACTCCACGTCCACACTAGCATTTTCAGTCGTTTTCACAGAGTTGCACATCCACATTCAAACACTTACGTTCCAGTCCTGCGCATGCGTGAAACACAAGACGATTCAACCTGCAACCTCAAAGGAAAACGCATTAGTGTGGACGTAGCCTCAGAAACTTTAGTCCAGAACAACAAGGACATCACACACAACGAGGACTTCTTCAAGCTTTGCTCACAAACTTTCTGTCCTTTTCCCTCCGTCTGGGAAGTGTTTCAGGAATCTCAGACGGGGTAATTGAGACCACATGTGTGCACCACACTGATGTGTGACCCACACCTCCCTGTGAACATTATAATCGCCCGTCTGAGAATGCTTTCCACCTCTGCTTACATTCTATTAAATGTTTCAGAAAAGTGTGATTACGTCAACTTCTAATGATTCACTTGATTAGTTTCAGTGGGTCAGGACTGCAGCTGCCGTGTGTCGTATGACAAAAGCACCTTCAGGTATCTCTGTAACCTATTAAAACATGTTGCCAGTAGCGCCCTCACAAGGCTAGTTATAGAAGTCAACTTAGGAGTTTTTCAGCCTCCTGCTGTCCCACACGCTTATATGTTGTTGTTGCTTTATTGTTAATTTATGATGTGATCTCCAGTGTTTTCCTGAAACTGGGGTCACCTGTTGTTCATGTATGACAATACTAATAAAGTTATAGTTCAGTGGTGTTCATAACACACACACATTGCGAATACAAACTGAGCTCTCTGTCTCACGGTTCCCTCTTCTCACTCTGCTGAAGTTCCAATGAAATGCAGACTAAAGAACTGGAGAGAGGTCTGAGAGCTGGAAGAAGCCGAACGTTTGTCATCTGGAAAACCTGGAACAGATGCAAATGAAGCCAGGCACCAATGAATAATTCATAATTCAAAAGAAATATCAACATATACACAGCAGAACATGAATGCAATTCAATTCAGTTTTATTTACAGAGCACCAAATTCCAACAATCAGCTCAAATCACCTTAAACATCACCGTCAGCTCACAGTTATAGTACAGAGATGAAAGCCTGCACAGCTGGTGTGCTAGCAGCTGTGTGAGGCTGTACTTTGATCTAAATGCTAATATCACCAGCTAAGAGATATTCTGATCTTACCCTTCTGCTGGAGGTTTCTTCCTGTTAAAAGGGAGTTTTTCCTTCCCACTGTCGCCAAAGTGCAAGTTTTTTTCAGGGTCCCAACATAATTTCTTCAGAAGAAAGTACTGTACATGATGCCAGCATTTTCCCACATTTTCTAGATTCTGTACCAGTACTTTGTGTAAGATGCCATCAAAAAGTCAGTTAAGTTTTATTCTTTCTCACCTGTCTTTCTGTCTCCTTTCACTTTTAAAAGCCATGTTAGAAAAATATTTTGCCCTGCCGTGCTGTTAATTGATGTGGTAAATAAATAGTTTATGAAAATATCACTAAATCTGTCATTTATTATTTTTAATATTCAGTAATGGTCATGTCTCACCTCTAGTCTTCTCTGTCTTAATTTCAGGTTTCCACCATGTGTTGTAGATAGTTCAGGAGGTTAACTCGACCAGCTCTTTGGGTTTCAGCTAAGCACTGTTTAGAATACCAGAACAGGGAGGATGGTGCAGGTTTAAGTTTATCAGATTGATACATATATACCAACAAGACTGTACATCACTATCACAACGACGTTTGTTTTCATTCAAAGGCTTTATGGCTTTTCCTATAATACCTGGTGGGCCGGTCTCCAGTCAAAATGCCCGGGCTGATTTTTTGTCCCAGCCCAGCCCTGAGCCTCAGGTGTACTCGGGTGTAACTCTGAGGTGTAACTCATATACTGTGTTAACATGGTAACATGATTTTTATTCCTAAAACATTGTTGTTGTTGTCTTGCTCATCACATCAAAACACAAAACAAGATTGGGATGGCAAAACCAGCGAGTGACATCACTGTAGCTGCGTTCTTATTGGTGCAAATGGAAAAAACTACTGCTGGATAATATTTTCTCAGCATTTCTGTAGCTGTGTTCTTTCTGGTTAAAAGACTTAAATTAGCAATGAGAAAAATAACATTTTTTTTAAAATAAGAAAGTAACATTTTATAAAGTAAATAAATAAAAATCACTGAATTGCACCCAGTGGGACTTTCTCTCAGGGAAACTGGGTGCCTGAATTCTTTTAATCAGTTCAAAACTCAATCAAAAGAGATCTTAAAAAAGAGTAACTCTGTACACGTGTCTGGGACGTCTCCAGTGTCGGACTTTGATGGCTCTTTCCATTTTCATTTTGCTGTTGATGAATAATAATTCTCATTAAAATGAAATATGTTCTTCTTCCTTACATTTTCAGGTTGACTGTTCAAAGATGAAGCTGTATCCTCTTCTTCTCTTGCTTTGTCTCTGCCATCTGGGACTCACTGTAAGAAGAACCTCAGTCTAAATAACTAAGGGGAAATACTCTCCCTGTAACTGTACACTAGAAAATAACCCAGTCTGTTCTCATGTCTTCAGGAAGAGCCCAGTCCAGCACCTACAAGTGTCAGTAAAACAGAAGAAGACGAGGCGTCAGAGGGTGACAGCTGTGGAGGAGCGTTCAGCCCTGAGGCACACAGGGCAATAGGAAAGGCCACCGAGCAACTGGGTTTGCAGCTCCTGGAAAATCTTCCTGTTAGTCCACAGCAGCCCAATGTCATCCTCTCACCGCTCAGTCTTGCTTTTGCCCTCGGTCAACTCACCTTAGGTCAGTTGTGGGTTAGAGGTTCATCTCTTTATCTGACAAACGTTGTGAAATATGATTTGTGAGCACCGTCACAAGACGAAACCTGTGAAATTCTTGATCACTTCCTGAAAATATGAAGACGAGGCACTGAATTTGATGGAGGGGTCTGGGCTTTACTGTCAACAATGTTAAAAATGGTCATTTCCACCTTCTAATGAAGTTTGATATTTGACTTCGTTGTATCCAGTGCCAGCTGGCTGAAAGTTTGGTTTGAACTTAAAGTGAACAAGAGAGACAGAATTAATATGAAAATAGGAGAAGCACAACTCCTGAACCCAAAACAACAGAAAGTCTGCCAGTAATTCTGATCTGGTTTTAAATGTGGTTTCATTCAACTACAAAGAAGCTGTTTGTCTAATGTGAGTTTTCTTTTTTCTGTGGCAGTGCACATGCAAAAGGAACAAACATCATCAACACCAGCAGCCTACATTTAGTACTTTTCTACACAAGACAGAAGCAGACATGTTGTGATGAAGTTCAGGAGCTGGTATGAAATGTTTCTTTGGTTTTATTATGTGATCTGATTTTTCTCGAAGGTGCTCGCACTGAGACAGAGAAGCTGCTACTAAAGACCCTTCATGCCCACGGTCTGGCATGCTACCATCATGCACTGGGAAGCCTTGTACCTCATTTTAGCCACACATCATTGGAGGTAGCGGCACGCATGTACCTCAAGCCAGGTATGAGATGATGAATATTGTACTTGTGGTGATTTATCGTAAGATTGGTATAAATCTGGACTTCTATTTGTATTTTTCCTGTCCTTTCTCTCTCAGGATTTAAAGTGAAGGCGTCCTTTGTTGAAGAGTCTCTGCACAGGTATAATTTACATTTGGGAAAGTATTGCACAAAGTTCCAGAGAAGCAGCCAAGTTAAAAAAAACACTTTTTTGGTGGAATAAAGGGATAAATCGAATTTGTTTCATACGTTCCTGTTTGTTTATGGTTTTACAGTCTTCCAGTTTGCTAGGTGGTGCAACAATGCTCAAAATCAATTAAGATATTAAGAAGAAAGCTAAAGAGGGCCTGAGAGCATGGTCAGAAATGTTCACTGCATAATACAAAACGTCATGTTAAAATATATAATTTTATATTTGATGCAGGTAAAAAAATAGGTAAAAATGAGAATAGATACCTCTCTTAAATGTCTGTTCATTACTCTTGTCTTGTATGTGCCATGTTGATATGAATTTTCCAGGTACAAATCACAGCCTGTTCCTTTAGTCTCTATGGACGAGGTCAACCAATGGGTTGAGAATGTTACCAATGGACACATCCCCAACTTCCTAGAAAGTATTCCACATGATGTGGTGCTTATGCTCATGAATGCTGTATACTTCAAAGGTGACCCACTCCACAAAACAAAACTCTTCATTATTGTGTTTTACAGTCAGAGAAAAGATGGAACAAAGCTAAATCCTTGCTCATTAACAGGACAAATAAATCAAAGTTTTCTAAAGGGAGAAAAAAGCTCTCAGAATTGTGAAAACTGCAAAAAAAAAATCTGTCCTGGCCAAGGAGGACATCATTCTCAAGAAACAGTACCACTGTCATATAACCAGACAGCACATTGTACAAACCAGGGAAGCATCTCATGCTATTAATGAGCACTGTAAAGACAAGCCGTGATACAATGTGATTATCTACAGCCGCTTCAACAACTGAGAAATAAACTGAATTTAAGTTGCTAATGATTCTGACTTTTTTCCACTTTTCATCAGGTCAGTGGCAAACACAGTTTGACCCACAAGCAACATCAAAGGGAGAGTTTTACTTGGACAGCCAGAACTCTGTGTCAGTGGACATGATGAAATCTGTCCAGTACCCTTTACGCCTGATGTATGATTCCAAACTGGAAGCACAGGTAACACCAACGTCTGGGGTAGCACAACATTTAACATAGACAGAAACCATGTGCAGTGTTGCCAACTCCTCAGTAAGGAAAATCGCTATTGGTTGTCCTAAAAGTCGCTAGAAGTCGCTAAATGACGTCATCGCCTAATTTGCATAATTGGTCATGCTAATCTAATTGTAACCTACGTTGTTGGAGAGAGAAATGACATCGTGGAAGAGACATAAAGTGAGTAAAAAACGTCCTAAATGCATTTAGAGTTTATTTAGAACTACAAATTAAATTTATTTTAGCAATTATTGTTTTTTCAATGTCACAATTCCAACCCTGCTCCTTTACCCGGGCTTGGACCGGCAAAAGTGACCCGAAATAGGCGCTCTGGTGGAGTTACTGTGTGTGTGTGTGTATAAGTAGTTTTACACTTTTACACTAAACAGCATAAGAGTAAAAGAGTAAAAGAAGAACTGACTGCGTTACAGCACCCGCTGCTTGTTGAGAGTAAAAGCGCTTTCACGTCTTTTTTTAGCTAAGGGGTCTGAAAGCTCACTAAATATAGCAACAAAGTCGCTAAGTTGGCAACACTGACCATGTGACTTGAAAAGCATATTTGTTGTTTGTGATAAGATCTCAAGATTAGTTATTTTTTTTAATTCTATAAAAATCTTAAATTTGTTTGTCTTATAGCAGCTGTGGAAGCTCACCTATGCCATGCCTTAATCCTGAGAACCAAAGAAAAATGAATCTTCCTATTAAACTTTTTTTGTGATTTCCTTCCTCTTTGGAGTTAAACACACGAGATATCAATGTAAAGCCCAGGATGTCATCCATTTAATACACCAGGACTTATTAGTCCCAAAAGTTGATTCTGTTCATCTGGACGTAACGTTTTCAGTGGGAGAAACGTTTCGTCACTCATCCAGGTGACTTCTTCAGTCTCAGCTGACTGCAGCTTTGCCCAACCTTATAAACAGTATATTTGCATAACGAGGTCAGTTGCTTGATCATTAATATACAACTTGTCATGCTCACTGATCAGTGGCCATGAGTCCCATTCACAGAGAGTTGGGGAATGGCTGCAATCACAGAACTGTAAGATGGTGACAGATGTACCCTTAGGCCCCTCCTCCATTCAGAGATGGTCTTTCCCTTTTCACGTAAATGGCCTCCTTGACTCCGCCCTCAAACCAGCGTTCCTCCCTGTCCAGGATGTTACATCCTCATCATTGAAAGAGTGTCCACTGGCCTGTAGGTGTAAATAGTCTGCAGAGTCCTGGCCTGACGAGGTGGCTCTTCTGTGTTGTAGCCAGAGGTTGTTTGGTTTCCCCGATGTATAAATCCTGGCAATCCTCCTGCACTTAACAGCGTACACTATGTTACTCTGTTTGTGTCGGGGACCCAATCCTTGGGGTGGACCAAGTTTTGGCGCAGCGTGTTTTGTGGTTTAAAAGCCACAGAGACTCTTTGTTTAAAAAGGACGTATTAGGATCGGTCAAAGAAATCAAAAGATGTAGACCAAAAACAAAAGTACATTACAGAGGACATAAATGAATAGGCTGGTTCTCAGGAGGTTAATCCATGGTCTCATGCCAAAGGCAACAACAAAAGTTACAAATGATTTCTCAGTTTCCCATCCAAAGTTGCAAGGCTCATCTTCCAGCCTGTTCCCTTCAACTTTTAGTTTATATGTTGAGATGAAGTTGGGGAAAAGACACAGACAAAATATCATCTTCTCTTGTCCAGGTTGCCAGTTTTCCCTTCAAGGGAAACACCAGCTTCTTAATCATCCTTCCCAGAGGAAACCTGTTGTCAGTGCTTTCCAAACTAAACATCTCCGACCTCTACAGATCTCTACCTCAGGAGAAACTGATGCAGGTGAACTTGCCTAAATTGAAGCTGGAGTACCAAAAGGAGCTCCAGGCGGCTCTGACCAACATGGGTAAGAAACTGAACGAGTCACTGAAGACATCTTGAATTTCGAGGATTTCCTTGGTCTTTGGACTTACAGTTGAGGACAAAATTGTTAGTCCTGTTATGAATTTTGGATGAACACCGAAACAAAATTATTAAACAAACAAACAAACAAAAAACATAGTAGGGCTAAAGTTTTTAGGTCTCCTGATACTGACAGCCCGCAGTCACTTGTTGTAGTTTTCAACACGTCTCATATGCTTCTCCTGAGCAATCCCAGCCCATTCTTCTATGGCAAGTCTCTCAAGCTCCTCCAGATTTTACGGTCTTCTGACATTTACCTTCAGTTCATCACACACTGGAAGATTTTATATTTCAAAATAAGTTTTTCTGTCAAAAGTGTTTCCAAATGGGTGTTAAAGGGGGTGGATGCAACCTATTCAACCCTAGATGGCTCCCTACAATCGTACTGTGGGTGCTCTACAGAGAAACGTTTAGGTGACCTTTGACTAATCAGACAGTTGAAATTCAGTATTTGCAACCACAATAAATCAGAATCAGAATCAGAATACTTTATTGATCCCTGGGGGAAATTATTTTTTGTTACAGTGCTCCATTATAAATCAACATAAACCAACATTAAGACAAGACAGACAATACGCTAACTAAGAATAGTACAATATATACATATATATACATACATACATACGTAAGTCACTCATAAATAAATAGTTGGAAAAGAAACATGTGTAGTTGTAGCAGCAAACAGTGTGTTAAGTGGATGCGTTGTACAGGGAGATGGCCACAGGCAGGAAAGATTTCCTGTGTCGTTCAGTGGTGCTTTTCGGTAATCTCAGTCTCTCACTGAACGAGCTCCTGTGACTGACCAGCATGTCATGGAGTGGGTGGGAGGTGTTATCCAACATTGTCTTTATCTTGGACAGCATCCGCCTCTCCGACACCACCTTGAGGGAGTCCAGCTCCATCCCCACAACATTGCTGGCCTTACGGATCAGTTTATTAAGTCTGTTGGCATCTGAGTTGGTTGAGTGCCACTTAAAGTTGTGTTTAAACAAAATGGAACAACAGATTGCAGTTGTCCAACAGTAAAGTTCAGAATTTATTGACTCTTTATGAAACCGTGTAGCTTTGAGGTCAACGTTATGGAAGTTGAGATACCCACAGATTGTACTGGCACCCTAACATAAACTAGTTTGTCAGCACCACTCAGAGTCAGGATGGGTTTTATTTTAAAGATACTGCACAAACTTCAGAATGCTGATATGCTCACTTCTCTTCATTGCATCCACCATATTGTCTTTTAAAGGCTTACATGAACTCAATTATTCACTTGCACACTTTAACACACAGAAACACATGTACTTAAAAGCCTTCGAGCAAGACAGGGTAAAGATACATTTTTTATGCCTTAGTTTAGATTTCAAATTTGCCTTATGTTATTTGGCTTTGACCGTTGACTGTACTTGAGTGTATATATATATATATATATATATATATATATATATATATATATATATACACACTCAAGTACAGTCAAGTATATATATATATATATATATTAGTGCTGTCAATAGATTTAAGTCCAGCTCCATCCCAAGGTTTTGGCAAGATGGCGCCGGTGTGTGTGGCTGCTCGTCTGTCACTGTCATGTTTGTTCCTGTTTATGTTATTTTTAATTTGTGTCATCCATGAAACAAAGTCTCTGCTGAGGTATGATCGCCAGACACTATTGGACCTCAAACCTGTGGTCCAAAATATTGTGTCCTTTGGAGCTGGTGGGCAGCAACCCCTGCCCCCATTTGCATCGGAAACCCCGGGTTACCTGTACCGGGTTCCCACGCTACCTTCCCGGCGAAAGCGTCCTCGTCGCCGGGGTAAACGAAGCGGTCGCCTGGTGAAGCTAAAGGTTTGCCTAAAGAATTATTCTGCTGGTTTCCGACCAGTGCATGCATTCTTGCCAAGGTTGTTTGCGTCTCGGCGTTTTCTGGACCCTGTTGATGCCTGTTTGGTGCCTGTGGTCGGCTTTGATGATGATGCTCCTCGGCCTCGCTGCCCATGCCCTCCCAGGCTAAACCTCCGCTGTCAACATTATCGGAATCTGAGATCGCTGCGGCGGGTTTCTGGACCTCCTGAACCCCGAGCGCCAACTCCAGCTCCCGCTAGGATTGGCCTGGTGAACACCAGATCACCTTTAAACAAAACTTTTATTCTTCGGGACTTCTTCAGTTCCCGTGATCTGGATTTTCTGTGTGTGACTGAGACGTGGCTGAGTGTTGGTGAGTCCAGTGTTCTATCTGAACTTTTACCTGTGGATTGTTGCTATTTTAACTCGCCACGGACGTCAGGCAGAGGTGGAGGCACAGTGACTGTTTACAAAAAGGATTTTAAATGTAAGCAGTGTTTTCTACAGCCTTCGTTCTCCAGCTTTGAACTTACCTCATTTGAGGTGAGTCGTACAAACCCGATTTTCTGCGCTGTCATCTATCGCCCCCCGAAATACAATAAGAACTTCATAAACTACTTTTCTGATTTTTTAGCTGGGATTATGCCCAACTATGATAGTGTTCTTATTGTTGGAGATTTTAATATACATGTATGCTGTCCTGATAAGCCACTGGTAAAGGACTTTTTAAGCCTTATTGACTCTTTTAGCCTGGTACAGTCCGTACGTGGCCCTACACATGAGCACGGACACACACTGGACCTTGTTCTGTCATATGGTCTGCCTGTCACTGACTTGGAGATTTGTGACTGTGCACTCTCAGATCATATGCCTGTGTTATTCAACGTTGGTTTGACATATACCGCAGTTAAACCTGGCGCTGCTACTCGGTGCTGTCGGGTTATTAACCCCGCCACTGCTGCACAGTTTTCTGCTGCTTTTAATCAGCTCGGCGGGCCTTCTGACTTTGTCTCCTCTGATACAGAAGACCTACATTCCTGGTTTAATTCTTGCTGTCAAAAAATCATGGACTCTGTGGCTCCTTTAAAAACCAGGCAGCTTAAGGCTAAACCTGAGCCTTGGTTTAATGAGAGCAGTCGTGCTGTTAAGAGGGAATGTCGTCGAGCAGAACGGAGGTGGAAAAAGGATAAACTGCATGTATCATTTCAAATTCTCAAAGACTGCTGGCATCGCTACCAGAACACTGTTAAAGAGGCAAAAAGGGAATATTTTGCAAATATTATTTCTTCCAACTGTCATAACCCACGTGTGTTATTTAGGACCATTGACACTGTTCTTAATACTCCTTTGAATGTCTGTTTGGAAGTTTCTCCTGAGATTTGCAATGATTTTCTGAACTTTTTTATTGAAAAGGTTGTCACCATCAGGGCTCTTATCACAGCTCCTGACTCTGACCCCTCTGTCTCTGTCCCTTGTGCTGCTGTTTTCACTCAGTTTGAGCTTGTGACGCTCTCCTCTTTAGAGGATGTGGTTCGCCATATTAAGCCCACAGGTTCCCCACGGGATCCTGTCCCTCCACAATTCTTTAAAGAAATTTTTCCTAGTATACAACAGTATGTCCTTGACATTATTAACAGCAGTCTGTCTTCTGGTGTGGTTCCTGCAAATTTCAAACATGCAGTAGTACAGCCACTGCTTAAGAAACCTGGCCTTGATCACACAGTTTTAGCGAACTATAGGCCTATTTCCAAGCTGCCTTTACTCTCCAAGGTTTTAGAGAAAATTGTTTTTAGTCAACTGAAAGATTTTCTAGATGAAAATGGAATCTTTGAGGTTTTTCAGTCAGGTTTTAAAACCCTTCACAGCACAGAATCTGCATTACTAAGGGTTTTTAATTACCTCCTTCTGGCATGTGATTCTGGTAACCATGTTGTTCTTGTCTTGCTTGACCGAACTGCTGCCTTTGACACAGTAGACCACAATATTTTAATTTCTCGATTACATGATGTAGTGGGTATTGGTGGCACTGCACTCAATTGGTTTAGGTCTTATTTGTCAGATAGAACTTTCTCTGTCAGCCTTCTCGGTTACGAATCGTCTTCTGCTCCTCTGTCATGTGGTGTCCCACAGGGCTCAATTTTAGGGCCACTGCTCTTTTCTCTGTATCTACTGCCTCTGGGTTCTATCCTTAGAAGGCATGGGATCTCATTTCACTGTTATGCCGATGACTGCCAAACTAAAACGCAAGGATGCCATCTCCATAAAACCTCTCTTGACATGTCTAGATGACATTAAAGCTTGGTTGGCTCTAAACTTTTTAAATTTTAATAAAAAGAAAACAGAAGTGTTGGTGTTTGGACCCAGTGGTCCCTGTGAGTCCTCCTCTGTTGTTTTAGGATCCCTGGAAGTCTATTTTAAATCTGTTGTTACTGACCTTGCTTTTAAGTTGGACAGTGATTTTAAATTGGACAACCAAATCAGAGCAGTGGTGAAGTCCAGTTTTTATCATTTAAGGCGACTGGCAAGACTAAATTCTTTCGAGGCAGCACCTTGAAACAGTGATCCATGCTTTTATTTCTTCCCGCCTGGACGACTGTAACTCACTTTATGTGGGGGTCAGTCAGTCGTTGCTCTCACGTCTGCAGCTGGTTCAAAATGCGGCTGCACGACTCCTAACAGGAACTCGAAAAAGAGAGCATATAAGCCCCGTGCTGGCCTCCCTGCACTGGCTGCCTGTGTCTTTTAGAGTTAATTTTAAAATTCTTATGTTTGTTTTTAAATGCCTTCACAGTCTTGCCCCGCCTTACCTCTCTGAGCTTCTTCATCCCCACATACCCTATCGGTCTCTCAGGTCAGCTGACCAGCTGCTCCTGGAGGTACCGAGATCCAGGAGGAAGCTCAGAGGGGCGGGGCCTTCTCTATTGTGGCTCCAAAATTATGGAATAATTTGCCCATGCATGTTAGAGAGGCCCCCTTCACTGTCCACTTTTAAATCACGTCTTAAAACCCACTTTTATTCCTTGGCTTTTAACCTCAGTGAGACTTAGTTTCTTTTTTAATGCAGTAGTTATTTAATTAATGATTTCACTCTTCTTTTATTTGTTTTTTATTTATATCTCATGTAATTTTATTTTACAGTTCCAATGTACAGCACTTTGTGTCAGCTGTGGTTGTTTTAAAGTGCTTTATAAATAAAGTTGATGATGATGATGATGATGATGATGATGAAAAAAATAACTAATTAATCTTACAATTTTCTGTTATTAATTGCAATTACTTGATCAATAGCCTGGCTCCAATTACATTTTTTCAACTTTATAATTTAAGATTGTAGCAGACATCCAAACTACCCTGCGTTTAATAAGGCTTTTGTGTTTTTAACATGTTTTAATGCTTTATATCTTGTTCTATTTAATCTCAAAAAGCCCCTAAAAACAGTCAGTAATCACAGTCGGCTTCTCTCGGTTTTTATTACCGTTAATCATTTTAAAAACCTTACGATGTAACTACAGCCCAGCCCATGCAGCAGTATATGAATGACTAACCTCGTATTGTGGATGGATTATCTCAGTTGTTCTCTTGACTGAAGTTTGGTCCGTTTACAGCATCCTGCCATGCAATTACATTTGTTCCTGACCATCAGGAACCCTCATGTGAACTTTTACCGAGTGGAAAAAAAAGTTAGCGTTCATCCTCCACCTTCACTGTGTTTATGTTATGCTAACATAGCTGTGTAATTCAATTCAATTCAATTCAATTCAATTCAATTCAATTTTATTCATATAGCGCCAAGTCACAACAAAAGTTGCCTCAAGGCGCTTCATAGATACAGAGAAAAACCCAACAATCATATGACCCCCCTATGAGCAGCACTTTGGCGACAGTGGGAAGGAAAAACTCCCTTTTAACAGGAAGAAACCTCCGGCAGAACCAGGCTCAGGGAGGGGCGGGGCCATCTGCTGTGATTGGTTGGTCGGGTGTAGCTAGCGATCACGTAGCACATCATTATATACCAGCTAGCCCAACTTCAGTAACCCTACAAACGTCACTGCTGTTTAGTTTTCTGTCTTCTTTTATGTTGGAAGTGATAGCAGAGCTGTACGTTTGAATTTTTCCAGAAATCTCTCAGTTAGAACATGCTATATTATATTTAGATAGGAGCTAGCAAGCTAACTTCCTGCTAACTTCTATCTTCGTTAAATTTAATAAATTCGGTTCTCATGGATGCCTGGATCCCCCATCCCATTCGCATTCGCTTATCCTTTTCAGGGTCGTGGGGCAAGAGGCGGGGGTACACCCTGGACAGGTCGCCAGTCTGTCGCAAGGCTAACACACAGGGACGCACTCACATTCACACCTATGGGTAATTTAGATACTTCAATTAACCTATCCCCACAAAGTGCATGTCTTTAGACTGTGGGAGGAAGCCGGAGTACCCGGGGAGAACCCACGCAAACACAGGGAAAACATGCAAACTCCACCCCAGCCTGATGGTGGAATTGAACTCAGGATCTTCTTGCTGGCAACAGTGCTGACCACCGTGTTAAACTTAATTTTTACACCTGGTGGAGCAGCCACAGTGATCATTTTATTACAGATGAAAGAATTTAGACAGTTTTTCAACTCTCAGTGATCCAGCAGTGTTCGTTTGATTTTGGGACCTGCAGCGGAATTTGGGCACAGACATGGCTAATAACGTCAGACTTAAAGACCTTGATTTTACCGCCAACCGCCAACTGACTATTACTCCAGTTCAGCATTCATTTTGGTCCTGAGAATGAAAAAAAAGAGCCAAACTTATGAAATTGTGTGGTTCCACAAGTTGTTGTTACCTGCAGGGACTGACCAAAACTTGTTAGTCTGCAAGCGTTTGACATTTTTCTCTCTCTCTCATTGTATCTATCAGGCCTTGGCTCTCTGTTCTCTGGTCCTGACCTCTCTGGGATATCGGACCAGCCCCTCACGGTGACCGGCATTCGGCACGCCAGCACAATAGAACTCAGTGAAGAAGGTGTCGAGGCCTCGGCCACCACCGTTGTAACCTCCATGCGCTCAGTCTCCATGTTCTCTGTAAACTCCCCTTTTCTTTTTGCTCTCGTCGATGACGCCTCCTTGACCCCCCTCTTCATGGGCATCGTCACAAACCCTGCCCCCGACAACCCCATGCTGAATGATGAGTCCCACAACAAGCAGTCATACAAACCCATCTCTGGTAATGGGAATGGTACTATAGACTTCCCTGAGTTTTGAACTGTGTAAAGTTAAAGAAAAGATTTTATTTTGGGAAAACAAACAATTTAGATTTGCTTACAGTAAGGGACTGGAAATCAATATACATGTAAAAGCACTTCTAAAGTTCATTAATTATACTTGATGTCTTATTTGTTTTATCCTAACTCCTTCTCTGTAAAGCAAAATTAGCTTATTTTCAAAAGTGTCAGTCATTTCCCCTTTAAAGCAGATTTAAGGCCCTTTCACGCTGGAAGCAGCACATGCAGTGCTGTGCTCGGAAACACATTCAGTTCTATTGTTTGCACTGCACAATAACGGTTTCCTGCTGTGCCAAGGAAAGCGCCAGCGCGGCAGCGTGAGTACACGTGCATGGTCAAAGTTCAAAGTTGAACTTTTCTAGGTAGCGGTGAGTGCGGTGCATACTGCATCTGATATGAAAGTGCATTTAGAATTACAGCAGAGGAAGCGCCTGGTGTTCACAAGTTATTGTAGATTAACAAAAAATACAGATGCAGGAATCGGTTGTTCCAAAAAGTTCATGCAAAAACTTTTAACAATGACATTTTAAAACATTTTAGGTTTCTGATGAAGTGTTCAGTGACTGCTGGTACATTTCAGAGCTTTACACAAAAATTCATAAAAGTTGTTTGATACAAAAAAAAAAAACGTTTTCCACAAAATTGTGCATCATGAATGTTGTTTTCTTACAGAAGTTTCATTTTTAGTGTGTTGATTTTATTTTAAGAGATGAAGTGGAATAAACAAAAAAGCTAACACACCTGTTACACAGTAAAAATTACCCACACACACTCAGAATGTATAATTCACATTTTATCATGAAATAACCTGCAGATGATTTTTTGTACAATGCCTGTATGCTGCAGGTTTCAAAGGTTTAATGTACTTCGTACTTTAACAGCCACTTTCTGTGTATGCAGCTTTGAACAGACCTGAAAGAATGAATGTTGGCATAGTTTCAAAATCTGGCTTACGTCTCTTGTGCATCTTAATGATGTTTCCTGTAGTTTACAGGTTACTTTAAAGTAATCCGTCAGTCGTTCTGTTGTCTCAAAACACAGAAACAGATTTTTTCAGAAATTTAACTTAATCAACATCCAGTGTGAGTGACAGAACAAAGGAGAAGTAATGTAGCAGGCTCACAGTTTAGCGGAGGCAGTTAGTCACACACTGTACAGTTTTTATAGATCATTAGTTTCCCTATCAATGCTAGCGAGAGCATTCTCATTCTCAATGCGTAACATACCGATGATTTGTCACAGAGGTACCCTTCTGCATCCTTATGAGACGCTCCGGATCCTCTTTTGAATCCAACAGAATGCCGCTCACGGCTCTAACACGCGCTTGAGCAGAGTTTCCAGTCCTCCAATCCAGCCCTAACCATAACCATAACTTTAACTGTATCAGTGTTTTGCAAAGGGATTCGGGATCAGAATGTAAAACACTTTTACATGTATGGATCCATTGGCTCTCATGCCTTTGGACATGTAACATACCTACGATTTGTCACATAGCATCAGTATGTTATATGTTGTGGTGCTAGCAGCCACATTAGCCACACTAACAGGGTTTTCTTATTGCTGTCATTGACTCGCTGCATTGTCAGGTCACAGAAGTGCAAAGTCAAGACTCTGTATAACAAACAGGCCGCAATGATTTGATATCAGATGTTGAAAGAGAGACATTGCATGAAAAATATTATCGACACTAAAAGTTGGGATGGTGGCAAAAAATAAATAAATAAATGAAAGATGCTGGAAAAGAAACAAAAGTAACAAGTAAAGAAATGGATGGATGGGCAGCCAATCAGGTTCATTTTCAGTAGGTCAGTAGACAGTCCATTAATCTACAAAAAACTGCATCTAAACATCTACAAATACAGCTACAGAGTAGTGCTCATCAACGTTAACAGTGAAAACTGAACATCTGATCAGAGTATATTATATCATCGAAAGATTTGAACAATCTGGAGAAATCTCTTTACGCACAGGATGAGGCTGAAAATCACTGGCTGCCCATGACCTTCAGGCGCTCAGCAGCACTGTGCAGAAACAATGAATTTAATAAACCAAAATAAAACAACAGTGGGACATGTAGTAGAATAAAGACAGCCAGCTCAGTCACAGGTCAAGAAGGTGCTTTAACCAAAGTTTGAGGGTTTGATCAGGAACAGATGACAGATTTTTATCTGCTAGCAGGACCTCACATCTCCAAATAAAGTTCCCACGTGTGGGATTAATAAAGGTTATCTTATCTTAACTTAAAAACAGTGGTGGAGATATGTCACATCCTGGACGACAGCAGTGTTCAGATAATATAACTGACAGTTTTCATTCTTTTGATTCAAATGCACTCTGGGTAAAAGGGGCGGAGCATGAACACCTCCAGGTTTTTTTTATGTAGATGCAAACTTTGTGTTTGAACAGCACTTGGACCACAAACAGGCACAAGAACGTGCACAGAGACGTGTGGAGGCCAGAAACCATCGGGTGGTGTCACATGATCACATACATCTTTCATCTACAGTCTTTGCTTCGAGTCAGCTGATTTCTCTGAAACACTCCTGAGCTGTTGTTTCTTTGTGTTCTCTCAAAACTTCAGTTATTTTAAGGTGCTTACACTTTTTATTAAATACCAGAATTTTTTAAGCTTCGTTTTTTTCTGGATCTGTGCGCGCTCCCGCTGCCTCTGCTGGCAGCAGCTGGATGCGCGCTGCTGAGGGTGCCGAGACAAGAGGCGTCAGCGGGGTGGAAGACTCACTTTCTGAGCTGGCAGGGACGCTGATCGACGTGGAGCAGAGAGGTGAGTGACTCTCGCTGCACTAGATGCATTTCTGCGCTTTTTACGCACACATTTGAACTTTTTTTTTTTGCATTGTTTTATTTGCGCCAGCTGGTATAAAAAGTGTAAAACTTGGACGTATTCGTAGCAGCGCAGCTCAGACATGAAGCACAGGGAGGTTTTCTGCAGAATTCAAAACGCTTTGATTCAGACTTTGTGAAAAACTTGCTGTTTCTCAGACACGCTGCGTTTTTCCTCCTGTTCAGCAGCCAGTCTGGGCTTTTCCACTCAGCAGGTTATATAAGAGCAGCAGGTCAGAGTCACTAAAACCAAGTAAACGATCATCAGCTTCGGTCTGTAAGGACATTTTTAATTTTTCTAAATTCTCATTGTTCGGATAAAACGGATGATTTTTAATAAGTTTGCAGGTTTGAAGATATTTGGGGTTGTAAAGAATTTCGTGCCAAGAAAAACATTTCACTGTGGAATATATTCAGGTTAGTGACCTGGACTTTAAAAATCCCCGATGTGATATCAAAGAGTTCACAAACAGCCAATGAAGAAACTTTCCAGTGAGGACCGGAGACAAGTCAGTGCAGGAACGGGAGCGCGCTGAGTCAGCTGGTCTGCAGGGGCGGGGGGATTAGCGCGCGAGCACACACACACACACACACACACACACACACACACACACACACACACACACACACACACACACACACACACAGTAGTCCAGGATGAGACGTCAACGACGTCACCTCTCTGCACTCGTTTACACTGACGTGTGTCGTTCTGCAGAAACACTGTTGTGTATCTCGGGGCGCGTGCGCAGGTATTCTTATCCACGCACTAAAGGGACAAATCATTAGGTACAGCTCACCCAGCCCTCAGTGCTGCTGCATTTTGATGCATCTCAATCATCCAGGAAAGTAAATCTCCAAAAGTTGATTCTTCATCTGGACGTAGCGCTTTGTGGGAGATCTTATACACAGGACATTTGCATGATGACTGAAACCAGCCCTGACCTCACAGGTTATGTAACAAACTCTGACCTGACCTCCTTCAGTGGGCTGGTTTCAGTCATCATGCAAATGTCCTGTGTATAAGATCTCCCACAAAGCGCTATGTCCAGATGAAGAATCAACTTTTGGAGATCTCTGCTGCAGTTTTCATTAACCCTGACCTCGGACTCACGGGCTCGAGCTTCCTGTCACTCCCTGTCTCACATCTCCAAGAAACCAGTTTGAGATGATCTGAAAGATTTTTTTATTTCTCTCATAAACGTTTAAACGATCTAACTGACGACATGTTATCTCTGAGTTTATGAAGCTGTAGGAAAGAAAAGATGAGACACACTGCGACGATCAGGAGGTTAAAGAAGAAGAAAGCATCTGGGTTTTCCATCAGGCCTGTGGTTTGTGGGTGTGTGGGTGTGTGTGTGTGTGGTTTTAGGTTCAAATGACAGACCTCTGTTTATGTAAAAGCTCGAGCACCAGGTCCAGATGTGTGTGGAACAAAGCAGGCCGTGTGTGTGTGTGTTCCTGTCTAGCTATCTTTGTGAGGACCAAAATCTGCATCCTACTATACTTGTGAGAACCAACAGTCACTTGTGAGGACACGCACACACCGGTCCTCACAAGTTTGAAGCCTTTTTGAGGCTCAAAATGTGGTTTTAGTGTCAGGGTTACAATTAGGTTATGGTCAGGTTTAGGGTCAGGGGCTAGAGAAAGCATTATGTCACTGAAGGTCCTCACTAAGACAGCTGAACGGGGTTGTGTGTGTCAGACTTACTCTTTCATGAACGCTGAGCTCAGACCTGAGATCATGATTTGTGTCCTGATGAGCAGCTCAGAGTTTGTTACATAACCTGCTATAAACTTCACAGAGTTTCCACAGCTCGGAGGTTTTCTGGCTCTGACTCTAATCTTTGTCTTTGAATTGTGTCTTTGTTTTGGATAATTTCGTCTCTGTAGCCTCTGTGGCGGCTGAACTTGTTTTCTGTACTCGTCCTCTGGACTTGGTTTGGCTCAGCCTTTCTTTGCACTTATGGAGAAATTAGGGGCGTTTGGTTTGGCGCAGAGGGTATCCCTGCCTGAGGAACAACAGCTGTGTGATGAAATATGGTTCATTTCCTTCACTGTTTGAGGAAATGTGTGAAAACTTGTTTCCTTTTGTTTGGATTTCAGGATGAAGGGAACGACTTTCCTGCTGCTGTTTGGAGTCGTGCTGAGCTTCTGTGACGCTCAGGTATCAACATCTGCCATCTGCACATATTTTCTATTCTTCTGCTTCCTCAGTTATGTAATTTACATCCCCAGAGCCAAAACGCTGGAGCCACAGACAGTAAAAAAGATGGATGTATCCAACGTCACCCCACCCACTGGTTTGATTTATGAAGCCTCGAGGTGAGCGTCTTCGCTCTCTCCTATTCTCACTGTAAAGCCGCACACTGATTGGCTAACTAATCTAAACCACGAGACAGACTTAAAATGAGCGAACGCGCCCATAAAGTGTCAGACGTCTCTGCAGCGCAGTCCCTCTGCAGACAGTCGCCCCCTGGTGGCCTTTAGAAAGAGCGCAGATTTCAGATACCTTTACTGGAAGCTACATCCATCTTTAATCAGTCTGTGGCTCGGACTTTGAATTTTAAAACATGTTTGAATTTGATGGCAGCAACATGCCTTAAAAAGCTGCGACATCAACAACACGAAGATGAAACATTGGTGGAAAATCTCAGAGCTGATGAGGTAATTTAGTGATGTGACTGTGTGTAAAAATACCACCTCACCATGCCCTCAAGGACGAGCTTTGACGCTTCAGGGTAGATCAATGAAGACGTGGTTTGACAAACATTAGAATGGTTTCTGGGTTTTTCCAGAGGTGGCTGCACAGGCTGAGACCACCCTCAGTTCAAAAAGAGCTTCACGGGTTTATGAGCAACATTTGCTGCCATCCACATGATGTTTGCTTCAGAG